ATATTCCACTTTCAAAATAGGGTCCAGAATAAACAATACAGTGGAACCTCAAAAATCGAACGTATCACATATCGAACGTTTCGAAAATAGGACCATTTTTTCGGACAAACTGTGTCAGTATTATTGAACGCGCCCCTATTTTCGGACCGCCAGGTACGGGACCTGTCTGCCGGCCCACTCTGTCCGTGTCCCCACACAGGTGCCGTGAGCAGTCTAGCTTTGTTTATGCTTGAGTGAACACTAACCTGCACTCTCACGCATTTTACGATTATTTTGTTGTGTTTAGTGCTTGTGGGACTGTGAAATAAGCTACCATGGTCCCAAAGAAACTTGCTAGTGGTACCCCTGCAGTAAAGAAAGTGAGAAACACCATAGATGTGAAGAAGGAAATAATACAGAAGTATGAGAGTGGTGTGAGACTTGTTGAGCTTGCCAGGATGTATGGGAAAAACAAGTCGACCATCGGTTCTATCCTGTCAAAGAAAGAACAAATCAAGGAAGCTGATGTTGCGAAATGTGTTAATATAGGGAGTGGATGAGGTGCCTTCTTCAAAGATTAAGGAGATTTGTGCCAAGTGGAATGATGTCCAAATGTTTGTGCAGAAGTACCACCCTGAGAAAGCTGAAACAAGCCATCTTTGCAACAAGTTCAGTGACAGAACCATGTCCCATTTTAAGGAAATGTTAAAGAGGCGCCAGAAACAGAGGACTGTGGACAGTTATTTTGTGAGACAGGGGTCCAGTGACTCTCAAGCTGGTCCTAGTGGCATTAAAAGACAGAAGGGAAGTAACCCCAGAGAGGGCTTTACCTGAAGTCCTCATGGAGGGGGATTCTCCTTCCAAACACTAACCCCAACTCCCTCTCTCCTCCTCCCTATCTTCCAGATGCCCTCACCAATCTTCAATAAAGGTAAGTAAAAATGTGGTTAACGCTCTCGCTTCACACGGTGAGGGCCTGGGTTCGATTCCCAGCCAGAGTAGAAACATTGGACGTGTTTCTTTCCACCTGTTGTCTATGTTCCCCATCAGTAAAATGGGTACCTGGGTGTTAGTCGACTGGTGTGGGTCGCATCCTGGGACACTGACCTAAGGAGGCCTGGTCACAGACCGGGCCGCGGGGGCGTTGACCCCCGGAACTCTCTCCAGATAAACTCCAGATACATAATTAAAAACTATAGTATTTGCTGTATGTAAAACTGTAATTAATCCCTATAAAATGTATTTTTTGTGTGAATACTTTTGGGTTTCTGGAACGGATTAATTGTATTTCCATTATTTCTTATGGGAAATATTGCTTCGAATTTCAGACTTTTCGAATTTAGAACTAGCTCCTGGAACAGATTAAGTTCGATTTTTGAGGTTCCACTGTATAGGCATTCCATTTTGATTTTTATTAACATAAAGAATTTTTATTCACACCAAAAAATAGAAGATTTACTGTTATACAATATTTTAATAATTGTATAAATAATATCAGCGCATTCATGAACATATAGTATTAGACCCGCCAGTTGACGTGTACTGGATACGTGAAATCATTTGTTTACTCTTGAACATCGGCAAAAATCAAATTATTTCTGCTACTTTGAGGTCAGTTTCAAGCTATTTTTTAGTACTAATGACAGTCAAAATCATCTCTATTTCTGTAATATATCTTCCATTGTATCAAACGAGACCAAGAAACCATGAATACAACCATAAAAATATACAAAAGTACACCGCAAAGTTACTGTTTTATTCCAAAAATACAGCCGCAGTTTTTTTGTTCTCACTATGCACTGTTTGCTGCAGGATTTATTTATGTGGTGCACACTTACCACATAGATCCAGTCTCTCATATCTAGGCCCAAATTTACCACTCACAGCTTATCTGAGTGAGTTGAGCTCATAGTGTAAAACTATGGCTTGGACCCTGTGGACAAGGCATAGAACTACGACTTGAACCCTCAACAGGTTAAAATACCCGTACTAGTACTAAGTAGTTTGTAAGTACAGTACTAGATTTAGTTTACCCAAAATGTTTTCCATCACAAGAAATTTTCTTTAGAATACAGTCTCTCCTCATTTAGCGACGGAGTTCTATTCCTAAGACCACATCAGTAAATGAATTCGTTGCTAAGTGAAGAGCATACTATTATGGTAGTGAGTTTGTGTAAACCCTCATTCATACTGTTTTAATGTCATCTTTGCACCATTTATAACATTTCTGGTAAATTTTTAAATGTTTACACAGTAGTATATTGTAATAAACAGATTAGACTGACTCAAGAAATCGTAATGACACGATTGCAAACAAACCATACCCCCGGCCGGGATTGAACCCGCGGTCATAGAGTCTCAAAACAGGCACAGTGGTGCCTGTGCTAACCTTCCTATGGTGTAGAAATACAGTGGACCCCCGCATACCGGACGCCTTGCATAACGGACAATCCGCATACCGGACGCTTTGATCGCTAAAATTTTGCCCCGCATACCGCCCAAAAACCCGCTCAGCGCCCTTCGTCCGAGACGCGTCCAATGTGCGGCCTGAGCCAGCCTCATATGTTCCGCCGGTGGCATTGTTTACCAGCCAGCCTCCGCGGTAACATTCAAGCATACAATCGGAATATTTCGTATTATTACAGTGTTTTCGGTGCTGTTTCTGATAAATAAGTGACCATGGGCCCCAAGAAAGCTTCTAGTTCCAACCCTACAGCAATAAGGGTTAGAATTCCAATAGAGATGAAGAAAGAGATCATTGATAAGTATGAAAGTGGAGTGCGTATCACCGACCTGGTCAGGTTGTACAAGAAACCCAAATCAACCATCTCTACTATTGTGGGCAACAGAAAGGCAATCAAGGAAGCTGTTCTTGCCAAAGGTTTAACTGTGTTTTCGAAACAAAGATCGCAAGTGATGGAAGATGTTGAGAGACTCTTATTGGTGTGGATAAATGAAAAACAGCTAGCAGGAGATAGCGTCTCTCAAGCGATCATAAGTGAAAAGGCTAGGAAGTTGCATGAGGATTTAATTAAAAAAAGGCCTGCAACTAGTGATGATGTGAGTGAATTTAAGGCCAGCAAAGGTTGGTTTGAGAGATTTAAGAAGCGTAGTGGCATACATAGTGTGATACGGCATGGTGAGGCTGCCAGTTCGGACCACAAAGCGGCTGAAAAATATGTGCAGGAATTCAAGGAGTACATAGAAACTGAAGGACTGAAACCGGGAACAAGTGTTTAATTGTGATGAAACAGGCCTGTTCTGGAAGAAAATGCCAAGCAGGACCTACATTACTCAGGAGGAAAAGGAAACCTCCCAGGACATAAGCCTATGAAAGACAGGCTTTACTTTGTTGATGTGTGCCAATGCTAGTGGTGTTTTGCAAAGTTAAGCCTTATTAGTGTATCACTCTGAAACTCCCAGAGCGTTCAGGCAAAAGAATGTCCTCAAGGATAATTTGTGTGTGCTGTGGAGATCAAACAGTAAGGCATGGGTCACTAGGGACTTTTTCTATAACTGGTTACACCATGCATTTGCCCCCAATGTCAAAGATTACCTAACTGAAAAGAAATTAGAACTTAAGTGCCTCCTGGTGTTAGACAATGCCCCTGGTCATCCTACAGACGTGGCAGAGCGACTTTATGGGGACATGAGCTTCATTAAGGTGAAGTTTTTGCCTCCTAATACCACTCCTCTCCTGCAGCCCAAATGGACCAGCAGGTTATTGCAAACTTCAAAAAACTGTACACAAAAGCTCTGTTTGAAAGGTGCTTTGTAGTGACCTCAGAAACTCAACTGACTCTAAGAGAGTTTTGGAGAGATCACTTTAATATCCTCAATTGTATAAACCTTATAGGTAAGGCTTGGGAGGGAGTGACTAAGAAGACCTTGAACTCTGCTTGGAAGAAACTGTGGCCAGAATGTGTAGACAAAAGGGATTTTGAAGGGTTTGAGGCTAACCCTGAGAGGAGTATACCAGTTGAGGAATCAATTGTGGCATTGGGGAAGTCCTTGGGGTTGGAGGTTAGTGGGGAGGATGTGGAAGAGTTGGTGGAGGAGGACAATGAAGAACTAACCACTGATGAGCTGATAGATCAACTTCAAGAGCAAGAGGCCAGACCTGGGGAAACTGGTTCAAAGGAGGGGAGAGAGAAATTGAAGGAATTGCCTACTTCAAAGATTAAGGAAATGTGTGCAAAATGGCTTGAAGTGCAAACCTTTTTTGATGAAAATCACCCTCACACAGCTATTGCAAGCCGTGCTGGTGACTGTTACAATGACAATGTTGTGAACCACTTTAGACAAATCATAAAGGAACGAGAGGTACAGGCCACTATGGACAGATATGTTGTGCGAAAGAAGTCCAGTGACTCTGAAGCTGGTCCTAGTGGCATTAAAAGAAGAAGGGAAGTAACCCCAGAAAAGGACTCGACACCTCAAGTCTTAATGGAAGGGGATTCCCCTTCTAAACACTAACACTCTCTCTCCCCTCCTCCCATCCCATCAATCATCACCAGATCTTCAATAAAAGTAAGTGTCATGTAATTGTGCATGCCTTTTTCAGTTTGTGTGTACTAAAATTAACATTTCATGTGGTAAAAAAAATTTTTTTTCATACTTTTGGGTGTCTTGCACGGATTAATTTTATTTCCATTATTTCTTATGGGGAAAATTCATTCACATACCGAACATTTCGCATAACAGCCAGCCCTCTTGCACGGATTAAGGTCGCTATGCGGGGGTCCACTGTATACCTAGTTGGATGAATCTTATTGTGGCTAGCTGGTCTAGTGGCTAACGCGACGGGCTGGAGTTTTGAGACTCTATGACCGCGGGTTCAATCCCGGCTGGGGGTATGGTTTAAACAGATTAGAGTTTAACAGCTCTAATATACATTATTTAGGTATGCTTACTGGTCAGAGGGCCTGTCATAAGTCCGAGTCATCAGTAAATGAGTATGTTGCTAAGTGAGGAGAGGCTGTATACAAAAAGATGTAATTCCAGATATGAATCAATACTGTAATTCTTCTTAATATAATTTGGCTTTGACTGAAAAAGTTTAAGGTATAAGGAGACTTAAGTTTGTTATGTTACAGGGACCGTCCACAAGCTGGGGTGATAAGCTGCTAAAGAAGCGTCCAGGAAAAGGAGGTTCCACAATTCTTTGGCTTCCCGGCAGTGGCCGACATGTTAGTGAAGGATACAGCTCCTACAAACCTTTTACCCACATTGTCCGGACACTCCATGTTGACGATGCAATTGATGTTTGCAATACATGCAGGATAGAACCCAAGAATGTAATAACTTTCAGCAGTATTGATTCTCGGGAGTTGTCTCCGTCACACCCCTGTGCCAACATTAAGGTTCTTTGGTTTAGTACAAGTTCTGGTGATCAGGATGACAATGCACCAGATTGGTATGGCAATGTTGAGTTTGCTGTGGATGCTAAAATTTTGCTTCAACAGTGGAAATACTTTTACTTAGTAGAGATGATGACAACACCAACACACACAACTTCACGTATTCTGGTGACCAATTCTGACTACTCTGATGTATTGACAGAATACAACCCAAACTGTGTTGGAGGACCATGGCAGGTCACTGCAGATGGCCAGTTTGCACTCAGTAAATGCTCACGTTTTAAGTTTAAGGGCACTAACATTCATGAACATGTCCTTGAATTTATGCTCGAAGTAAGTCGAAGAGATGAGAAGAAAATTATTAAAGAATGTCAGATATCATTCAAAAACCACGAGGAGGCAAAAGACATGAAAGTCCGTCATGTTTGCAATAGGTACCAACGTGCAGGCTTGCCTTGCCCTACTCCATTTTCTTGTCTTGTGGCAGCCTTTTATTTCTTCCTCAAAATGCAACAAATTGATACATCTTGGAGTAATGGCAGACCTAAACTTTCCAAAAGTGCACAGCAATATCTTCAGTTATTCCTGGAAGACCAGAAAAAGCAAGTGACTACTAAGTTCACTGCTATTTCTGTTAGTAATGGTCAAGTTCAAATCTCTTCTTAAAAATATTTTAGAAGTTAATTTTGCAATGACAGGCACTCTATGCCAAAACAATAGAGGTATGTTGATAGTTTTTGCATCATGTATATTATGATGGAATAGTTCAAAAAGATGGTGTATCACTGTAAATTAAATTTATGTAGGGAAAAATACATGCTGCACATTCTAAAAATACTAAGCAATTAAAAGCAAAATTAATAATATTATACAAGTAATGTGTTAGTGTTTAATGAACATTAATTTGTGACTCTTTTTCTAATAATGAGATTGATGTTTTAATGGATTATTTTCTTGCTTTGAATTAGTATGACTTTGCCAAAAGTGTCCTTCACATTCCTGATACAGCACATTCCTGATACAGTATTAATGCACTAAGACTGTTTTTGTACAATAGTCTTATGAATATAATCAAAATAAAAACAAACAAATATACATAACTTTGAATTACAGAACAGTGGTGAATTATTATTTATTTACAGATCAGTTTCAGAAGTTCTCAGAATAAATTTGTAATTTCCTTACATACTGTACATAGACTCTATATGATTATATAGCTCTGATATTTTGTTTGTGGAACTGCATTCCAAAAAGGATGGGTGTGACATTCCTTATAATATCAAAAAACTTCCCCTGTATATAATTCTTCACTCTTACACTATCCTATAAGTCATGCTTATTATATTTTTCTTACAAGCCTACCTTAAGCTATTCCATTTAAATGGACAAGTTGTTATATAATATTTTTCTTGATTCACTGTACTACCTTTACCTGGCAATACTGGTCATCTCAACCATCCCATATATAACCATGCAGTACTTATTCCGTATACAGTAAATATCTTAAGTTTTATACCAATAGTTAATCTTAATAGAATGAATCAAATTTGTATATTTCTCATTCCACATCTCATTCCTGGACAGAGTTGGAAAAAAGCATAGTAAGATATCCAATAATCCTTGATTTACATTCTTCATATTTCTGTCATTTGTGGTATGTCCAAGGAATCCACCCACCTGTCTTCCTTTAATTTTTATCATTTACATTTTGTTGATATCACAGTCCAAAATTCACTCACTCAGGTCATCCAGGAACCACGTTGTTGTACTTAATATAAGCTGTGCTCCTGCACTCGCAGTGTAAGCAAAAACACTAGCAGTGTAAACACTAATTGGACAGTATTACAAATATTGTGATAATAAAGTCTTCTACTCCTAAACTGTTGTTTATATCCCCAGACCAGTCTTGTATTTTGTTCCAATCCAGTGACACTTGACAAGATGTATGTGTATACCTTCTTGGCACTCACGTATATCTGTGGCACTCATGTATACAGTGGACCCTCGGTTATCAGCCATTCCAGATATCAGCCAATTCGGTTTTCACCCGCTTTTTTGACCAAAATTCTATCCCAGTTATCGGCCGTTATTTTGGAGATCAGCCGTATTGGACGTGTCCATTCACTGTTCCATCTCGTTTGTGAGTCAGTCTGGCTGTGTTTTTGGGTGAGTGAGGAAGCCTCTGCGCATTCATCCAAACATTCACTATAATCCATTTTTTTTGTGGTTATTGATTGAGTGCAACTGCAAAATAAGCCACCCTGGGCCCAAAGAAGTAAAGTTCCTTTGGTAAAGAAAGTGAGAAATACGTTGGAATTTAAGAAAGAAATTGTTGAAAAGTATGAGAGTGGTGTACATGTGCTGGAGCTTGCCAGAATGTATGAGAGATCCAAATCAACAATCCCTTCCATCCTGGCAAAGAAAGTAGAAATCAAGGAAGCTAATGTTGCGAAAGGGGTAAATGCGCTAACGAAACAAAGGTCACCAATAATCGAAGATGTGGAGAAGTTATTGTTGGCGTGGATCACCGAAAAACAATTAGCAGGAGATAGTGTTGCGGAGTCGATCAATTGTGAAAAGGCAAGGCAGTTGCATGCGGATCTCGTAAAGAAAATGCCTGGAATGAGTGCTGCTGTTAGTGAATTTAGGGCCAACAAAGGCTGGTTTGAGAGGTTTAAGAAGCGTAGTGGCATACACAGTGTTGTAAGACATGGCGAGGCTGCAAGTTCTGACGAATGTGCAGCCGAAGCATTTGTTGACGAATTCAAGTGGTGCATAGAGTCTAAAGGATTCCTCACCCAACAAGTGTTCACTTGTGACAAAACAGGCTTCTTTTGGAAGAAAATGTCAAACAGGACTTACTTCATGCAGGAGGAAAAGGCATTGCTAGGACACAAGCCTATAAAAGACAGGCTTACTCTTTTGTTCTGTTGTAATGCAAGTGGGGATTTCAAAGTGAAGCCTTTACTGGTGTATCACTCTGAAAATCCCAGAGTGTCCAAGAAAAACAATGTTGTCAAGAGTAAACTGTGTGTGTTGTTGAAAACTAATAATAAGGCACTGGTCACAAGGCAAATTTTCATTGATTGGGTCCATGAAGTGTTTGGCCCGAGTGTGAAAAAATACCTCCAGGAAAATATATTGCCACTCAAAGTGTCTCCTGGCACTGGACAATGCTCCTACTCATCCTCCAAACTTGGTAGACTAATTGTCTCTGGCATTAAATTTTATAACAGTGAAGTTCTTGCCTCCTAACACCACTCCTCTCATCCAGCCCATGAACCAGCAGGTCATTTCTGACTACAAAAAACTACACAAAAACAGTGTTTCGAAGGTGCTTTGAAGTGACCTCGGACACTGACTTAACCCTAAGAGAGTTCTGGAGGACTCACTTCAATATCCTCCATTGCATAAGCCTTATAGGTAAGGCTTGGCAGGGAGTGACTTCCACAACTTTGAACTCTGCTTGGGGAAAATTGTGGCCAGATTGTGTCCTCAACAAGGATTTTGAAGGGTTTGAGGCTAACCCTGACGACCCTACGCCTATTGTGGAATCTGTTGTGTCTTTGGGGAAGTCCATGGAGTTGGAGGTGAGTGGCGATGTGGAAGAGTTCGTGGAGGACCACAATGAAGAGCTAACCACTGAAGAGCTGCAAGACCTTCATCTGCAACAACAACAGACCACAGCTGAGGAAATTGGTTCAGAGGAGGAAGAGAGAGGGGAGAATGTGCCTTCTTCAGTGATTAAGGACATTTGTACAAAGTGGAGGGAGGTGCAAACTTTTGTTGAAAAATATCACCCTGACCAAGCTCAAACAAGCCATATCTGCAACATGTTCAGTGACAAAACCTTGTCCCACTTCAGGCAAATCTTAAAGAGACACCAGAAACAGAGCTCTCTGGACAGCTTTTTTGTGCAACGTGGGTGCAGTGACTCTCAAGCTGGTCCTAGTGGCAGTAAAAGACAATGAAGGGATGTAACCCTACAGAAGGCTTTGATACCTGAAGTCCTTATGGAGGGGGATTCCCCTTCCAAACAATAATCAGTCCTCCCCTCTCTCCTCTTCCCTGTCTTCAATAAAGGTATATAATAGTGATTTAAATGTTCATTTATTTATTTTATTTAACTCTCTTTGTTTTGTGTATGTAAAACTATAGTTAATCTTTAAAAAATGTGTTTTTCGTTAATATTTTTCGGTGTCTGGAACGGATTAATTGTATTTACATAAATTCTTATGAGAAATATTATTTTGTTTTTTGGCCACTTCGGATTTAGGCCGACCTTCTGGAACAGATTATAGCCGATAACCGAGGGTCCACTGTACATGCTTTGCATTCATACGTATTCCTATCTGGCACTAGTGTATACTTGACTGGCATTAGAGTATTACTGTCTAGCACTTGTGTATATCTGCCTGGTACTCATGTAGACCTGTCTGGGATTCTTTTGTGTATCTGTCTGGCATTTGTATATACCTACAAATTTTAGAAACAATTTGGATGCAGAGCAGGTGAGGTCCAACTAAACATTATGCTTAACCCTTTCCGAGTTGGTGCTATACTAGTATGGCTTGCGCGCCAGGGTTGGTGCCGTACTAACACACATAAATTCTAGCACCCTCAAATCAAGCGGGAAAAAGCTGGTAGGCCTACATGTGAGAGAAAGGGTCTGCATGGTCAGTGTGAGCAGTAGGAAAAAATCAGGACCCAGTGGTGCATTGTGGGAATGCCTTGTTTACCATGCCTTGCGGTAAGAAATTCCTCACTCCTCGGCGAATTGGGACACTTTTGTTCCCAAGTGACAGTTCAAACACAGATGGAAATGTCAGTGAAGATGACTTTCAAGGTTTTGAGGAGTTTGTGACTGAAACTAATGACCATAGTACCAGTAATAGTAAGGAAAACCTAGATGACCCACAACTTTCCACCTCTGGTGCTGGGGCATCTTGTTCACATCCAGTCATACCAGAACGAAAGAGGAAACTCGTATTTCCCCGTGTCCAGGACTCAGATGTGAGCAGTAGTGATGATAGTGATAGTGAATGTGATCTCCTAGCTCTTGACAACAGTTCCAGTAGCAAGAGTGAAGTGGAGTATTCTCCAGTAAAGCATCAGTATATACGACGCTATATGCACTCTGGTAGTGTGCCATATGCTATTCCAAGGGTAAGGAGTACATCTCGGAGTACATCCCATGGCCATACAGCAAGAACAGATAATGAAAATGAAGATGATATTGTTGCAATTGGGGTGAAAAATGTGCATGCTGCATCAGATGGTAGTGGTTATAGTGGTGCCAGTCGTGAGTCACCAGCATTGGGCCATGCTGATACCCACGCAGGTGAGTCAGATTAGCTACAACAAAGGCCCCCCTCACCCACCCCCCCACCCAACCAACCTCCAAAACCCACGACCCCCTGTAATATCCAAAACCCAAAAACCAATCTGGTTTGGCGGGAAAGGGTTTTCCAACTTTTTTCCCCAAATCCCCTCACTTGGAAAGTCTAAGGGGAATATGGCTTTTTGTCATTTGGGGGAAAAAGCCACTAAAACGGAATTTTAGAGTTATTCTTTAAACAAACCCCTTGATGGAAATTAGTCAGGGAAAGAAACACTATTTCGTTTACACCTTGGAAAACCCAAAATACGGGGGCCCCCGCATACTGTTGGCATCACTAACGTTAAATCTGATACGATACATTTTTCGCAAAAGATTTTGCCTGCATCCGTAAAAAACCTCCCAAAACCTTTTTCGTCCGGAGCGTCAAATGTGCGGCCTGGCCGCCTCACATGTTCCCCCGGTGGCATTGTTTCAAGCCAGCCTCCGCGGTAAATCCAAGCAACAATCGTAACATTTCGTATTATTACAGTTTTTTTTGGTGATTTTATCTGCAAAATAGTGCCCATGGGCCCCAAAAGAAAGTTCTATGCCAACCCTGTGGTAAAAAGGGTGAGAAATTTATCAAAATACTGTGGTACCATGGTCAATGCTGTGTGCTCTGCTGTACACTGTCGCTGCGCTGTGCTGCTGTGCACTGTAAAGGCGCTCTGCTGTCAATCAGCTGCTGTTGCTTGCTGTCCCCTCAGCTGCTGCTCTGTATAGTACGTCTGTGCTGCTGCTGCTGTAGTCCATTGCTTGCTGTAGCAAGTCTGCGGCTGCTGTAGCACATCTGCTGCTGCGTAGCACTGTCAGCTGCTGCTGCGCCATGTCAGGCTGCTGACTGTCACTGCTGCGCTGCTGTACACTGTCAGCTGTGCTGTGCTGAAAAACCCCCGCAGTGCGCTGCGTTTTCCACCGTCAGCCTGCTGGTCTGTTGTAACCGTCTGCTGCTGCTGTGCATGTAGGCTGCTGGTGTAGCACGGGTCAGCTGCTGCTTGCTATGCACTGTCCTGCTGCTGCTGCTGTGCTTACCACGTCGCTGCTGCTGCGTCCCCACCGTAGCTGTGCTGCTGTGTGTACCGTCGTGCTGCTGTAGCATCGTCTGTTTGTTCTGTAGCATGTCAGCTCCGTAGCACTGTCAGTGTTGCTGTAGCCTGTCAGCTGCTGCGCGTAGCACTGTCAGCTCTGCTCTGCTGCTGTAGCCCCCGTTGTTGGTGTGGCTTATTGAAATACCAAGAAAAAATTTAAACCCCCAGGGGGTTTAGCCCCCCAGGATAACCCAAAAAAAATCAGTGTCTTAAAGACTGTCTAACTTATTTCCATTGGGGCCCTTAATCTTGTCTCCCAGGATGCAACCCACACCAGTGATAAACCCAGGTGAACAGGAAAAACGCCGGGAAACTAGTGTTTATTTTGGGGAAAATTTAAAGCAGCAAAGGTTTGGTTTGAGAGAATATAAAAAATCAGTGGCATAACAGTGTGATAAGGCCTGTTCTGGAG